AAACTCTTTCAAGAGTGAGATTGTGATTGTCATAAAATGGAGACCATATCATTGAACCATAATCTAATATTGATACTACCAGAGAGAAGTAAACTATCCTTAAGACATGAAGGGACAGATGTTTACCATGTCGTAGAATAAATCCAAGACATTTTGCCGCCTTTACCACAATATAGTTCAAGTGGTCTAAACATTGAAGTTGTTCATCAAAAAAAAGACCCAGATCCATCACAGACGAAACGTAAGATAATCCATGGCCATTAATTACATAAGAAGTATCAAATTTTCTATTTCTTTTGTAAAAACTTATAAAACAGCATTTTGCGATATTCAACTGTGAATTATTCTCGGAGCATCGTGTAACCAATCTATCTAGCTCATCTTGCATTAGTGTTGAATCATATAGTGATCTTATTGGCATCAAAACTTTGAGATCATCTGCGAACATGAAGAAATCAGTATGATGGAAACATGGAACAATGTCGTTAATAAAGATATTGAATAACATAGGGGCGCAGTGAGAACCCTGAGGTACCCCTGATGGCACCTGAATTATAACCGATGTAACGCCTCCAACTTTAACTTGTTGGGTTCGATTACATAAGTAACTTCTGAGCCATGTTACAGCTGAGTCAGAAAATCCAAATATCTTTAATTTTTTAATAAGATATTGTGGTCTACTCGATCAAAAGCTTTTGAAAAATCCGTATACACTGTATCCATTTGCCCTTTACTTTCCAAAACATCCAATAATTTGTGTTCAAAAATCATCAAGTTGGTAATAGTAGATTTATATTGTGAGAATCCATGTTGATTATTTATTAAACGTTCCTTACAATAAAATTTTAATTGATCACTAACTAATGAATCAAAAATTTCTGCAAGTGAAGACGGACTACAGATACTTCGATAATTTTCCACATTTTGTTTATCACCAGATTTAAAAATAGGTCGGATAAAGCTATGTTTCCACAGGTCAGGAAATGAACTAGAATCTAATGAGCACTTGAAAATAAGAAATATGGGATATGTTAAGGTACAGATACATTTTTTGAAAATGCCATTCTCAGTCTTTCGGGATAGGTTGGACGCTCTTCACCAGAAGGGATAGGTGTGGCTCGACGCTGTACAATACCCCTCGAGAAACCGTAAGTGGCTGCTATTTCCTGTATTATACGTCTTTCTTTTGTGAACCTCTCATGTGTTGGAGGGAAAGTCATAAAACGATGCACTAGAAAATTCAACCCAGCACGTTTGTGCTGTCCACAGTGATGTGAAAGAAACAAGCACGTACAGGTATATTCCTGACAGTTGACATCACTGTGGACAGCACGAACGTGCTGGGTTGACTTGCCCTCTAACACATGATATGTTCACAAAAGAAAGATGTACAATACAGGAAATAGCAGCCACTAACGGTTTCTCGAGGGGTATTGTAGATGACAATGAGGAAGAAGAAGGTAAGGTTAAGAATGAACGAAATCTCGACTTTCAGAAAGGACAAAAACCAAGATAAATACATCTCAATTCCATACCACAAATATACGAGGAACTTTGGAAAGATTTTCAAGGAACTAGGTAAGAAGGTGGTTTTTAAAACAAGTCATACACTACAGAGCCTTTCGGGAAGTCCAAAAGACAAAGTCGAGAATTCAGAAATGTCTGAAATTTACGAAATTGAATGTAAGGACTGCGATGCAAAATATTATGGACAGACAAAAATATCTATCAAAGTAAGATATAAGGAACACATAGCACACTTAAAATATGGAAGACCTGAAAAATCAGCAGTCGAATATCATATTTTGCAACAAAACCATTCCATAGACTTCAGTTCATATATTGGAACTATTATTTATTATATCTACAGCAATGTCTCTGAAATAGTGATTGAATATATTGGAAATCAAATTTGGTGATTCTAACATACGGTTATTGTTTTTATTATTATATTTTTTGCTCACTATTTGACTTATTAGTTAAATGAGATGCAATCGGCATAGTTCATCTACTAAGAGCAGTACATATCAGAAATCCGCGACGGATTGTAGCTGCTCATCGTTTTTAGGTTCAACTCAGTACACCTCAAACTTCACTGTTCAAGAACTTTTTCAAATCCAATGTCAATCGTTACTTTCGCACAGGCACCGCTCTTAGAGCGCCTTGAAGATTTTCCTGTAGTGCTTGTGTTTCATCCTTGAAAAATTAAAGAAAAACAGCTACCCATTCAATGAAAAACACTGCAGGATGCTTCAATATTTATTTTCTACATCTCAATCCGTACAGTCTTTAACATCCACCAGGCATCGATTTTTCACAATTTGTGTGAAGTAATCTGCAGACTTCCTTTTAATTCTTGGCCTCTCAGGATCGTTGAAGTCAACTTTGTACATCCCTAAAAATGATCTGAACAAAAAAAAATATTTTGTAAGTTCAGCTTAAATTTATGTTTTTCCCACTTACCCGTATCCTCCTGTCCATTCCCAATCATCTATGATACTCCACGCTATGTAAGTGGTAAGGTTAACGTTATCTTCGTATATGGCATCCAAACAATTGCTGATGTAATCCTGAAAAAATTGTACTTTTTAAAATTTTATCGATGTCAAAGAAATCGACTCCAATGCTCATTTTCCTCATATTCTGGGCAAGGGATAGGTCAGGACCCGATTTGGGAGTCTGGAGGCCCTGGGGCCCCTAATCAATAATTATTCTTTGGATTTTTTTACTAATTTTATTTCTATCAACTTATAATAATAATAATAATAGTTTATTAACCGTTTGTTGGTACATTAGGTACATATGGTAAGTCAATATTATATTATAATTTGTTACACTAAAAAATAAAAAATAAACGGACATATGTATAAAT